TGATATGGCATATAACTTTAAAGATAATTCAACTAAAAAAAAACCAGAAACAGAAGTGGAAAAAAATCAATACGGTATTGATATGAGAAAACAAAAAAGCTCTATTAAAATTATTTTTTGTGCAATAGACGCAGGAAAAGAATACATTGAAATGTTGACATCTTATTGGAATAACCCAAAAAGCTATAATGAAAAGAATGTGATAGATCATATTTCAGCACAACCTATATTGAACATTGAGGACAAATTAAATAAAATATTACATTTAATCAGCCAATCAGTGAATAGACGAATTATAAATGATTATCTTGATATTTCAAAATATTTACTCTTCGCTTCGGCACTTGTTGAATATACCAAGAAATTACTGATGAAAAAAAAGCGATCATTTAATGTTTATGAAGAGTTTAAAAATAATGATTCTGAAAAACGAAAAGCTGCCTATGGACAATTTAAATCAGATACGACAAAAGCAATTAATACCCTCAGAACAGTTCTGAATCTTATTAACTTAACTATATTTAAACTAAAAATTAGCACCTTAAATGAAGAATTTGCTACAGTGCAGGCAGCATGTATAATAAAAACTTTTTTATGTACTTCAATAGAAATTTTAATTTGGTACAAATACTTCGGTCCAATTATTGCTATTGGAAATATTACAGGAAGATTAGAATTATGGGGTTCTCTTAAACAAAACACTTTTGTAGAGACATGCAAATTAGTTGATGAAAATGTCGAATTGTTTAATGATTTGAAAAAGGCAAATGATAATTATGGTTGATGTTCAACCTTCATTTGATCTGCAAGTTTTTCAAATTGAAATTTTACATTTTTGGATTCATTTTTCCATATTTTAGAGACAACTTTTGATATATCAGCAGTTGTCAATTTATTTTGAGCCTTAATGTTTAATTTTTTATATTTCTTATATAGTTGAATCTTAATTTTGGATTGTTGGAATTTTCTATATAGTATAAAAGCATTTGGAGGACGTGGTGAACCTCATTTTTTTCTTTTATGATGACTGAATAGATTTGTAACTACATAGTTTAAAATAGTGTTTTTTTCAGAAAGCATAAACATGGAATAATATTCTTCTACTATTATCACAAAATACAATGATTGAATTCAAAAAGATAGATAATAAATTTGATACTATTTGTAAGGCTATTAAATAGATATCCTTGTCTAATTTTTCATTAGATTCTTGTTGAAACCCAAAAACTAAAGTTTTTTATCATAGAATTACGATTTTGTTAAAGTCTTGTTATCAATATTGACATTGTGATTTATTAATTCTTTATAAGATGAATAGAATCTTTGGACAAAATTTACAAGCACAGGGTTATTGTTTTAACGTGGGATTTTTCATTATAACATTAAGTTGATCATAAGGAGTTTGTTTTGAAAGATACTTGTTTTTTTATTCTAAACTTTTATGTTTTCGGACTAATGTTTTGCCATAGTTAATGCATTGAAGGAATATAACGGCATTAAATTTAGGGGAATTTACATATAAGGGCCCAAAAAATGAAAATAATTACAAATTGGAGCCCAAACTAAAAATAATTACATATAAGGGCCCAATTTTTATGAATAGGGATCTAAAATTTTGCACGCATAAGAAATGAATAAACATAATTTAATAATTGTTATATGGCTAAATATAAAATGAAAAATATACTTATCTTTTGCTTCTTTTAACTTAATCGCTTATCTTTTACTTTTCGCTCTTACATTCCAAATATTCA